CGAGGTGGCGGCCATGCACGGGCTTAGTCATCACCGTGCGTCCGTGTCACGCCATGTGTGCAAGCTACTAGGTGAGTCACCCTTGCAACTTGCACTTCAACTTCATCTCATTGTAAATCCTCACGGCAATTTTTAAGAAAAAAGGATTTGGATTTGGTTAACTTGATCATGGTACTTAGGGTGGCTTAAGCATGCGCTTAGTGGCCTAATGCGTGTAACGCGCTGCGCCGTGCACTGCGCACGGTCGCGTGCGCGTGCTGCGCGCACGGCTATGCGCGGCATGCGTGCATAGTGTACTTCGTGCACTCGTGACTTAACATGACTTTGACATTAAATTCCGTACACTCTTAACTTCCAATAATTAATCCCGATTAATAATGTCCGTTTATAAAATAAACGGTTCGGAAATTAATTATTGAATTTGACTTGGTTAATAATTAACCGGATGAACTTTTCGACTTAAAGTCGAACTTATTTGCTAACGGAATTAATAAAAGAAAATACATCACTTTATTAACAAGAAGTTGGGCTATTACAATCTACCCTCCTTAAAATATTTCCGTCCTCGGAAATATAAAACAAAACATATATACATGAAGGATATACATATCAAAACTGAAAATCGGGAAAACGAGCACGAATGTCAGCCTCCTGCTCCCAAGTGGCTCCGTGGCGATCCCACTGAATACGAACGAGGGGAACATTACGCTTCCGGAGCCGTCGAACCTATCGGTCCAACACAGCTACCGGTCGCTCCTCGTAAGATAAGTCTGGATGAATCTCAATATCAGTACGAGGAATGACATGATCGGGGTCGCACACGTACTTACGTAACATAGATACATGAAAGACATTGTGAACACTGGATAACTCGGGAGGTAAGGCTAAACGATACGCAACATCGCTCACTCGCTCAAGTACTTCGAACAGGCCAATGAACCGAGGGTGTAACTTCCCTCTCTTCCCGAATCGAATAACTCCGCGAAATGGACTAACTCTGACAAAAGCATGCTCGCCAACTTCGAACTGGATATCTCGTCGATGATGATCGGCGGTTGATTTCATTCTGCTCTGAGATGTCCTGAGTCTCTGCCGGATCAACTCGACTTGCTCGGCTGTCTCCTCGATCAGCTTCGGACCGAGTACTCGACGTTCACCGACGTCGTCCCAATAAGGAGGGGAACGACATTTACGACCGTATAGTGCCTCATAAGGAGCCATCTAAATAGAAGAATGATAACTGTTGTTGTACGTAAACTCGACGTACAGCAATAACGACTCCCATTTAGCACCCCTGTCAACAATCAAAGCGCGCAACATATCCTCCAACGTCTGTATAGTCCGCTCCGTCTGTCTGTCAGTCTCGGGATGGTAGGCTGAACTGAAGGCTAGTTTCGTACCCATCGCCTCGTGTAAACTCTTCCAGAATCTACTGGTGAATCTGGGGTCTCTGTCTGACACGACAGTAACAGGTACTCCATGGAGTCGAACGATCCCACGGACATAAATCTCAGCCAACCGATCCAAAGACATACTCATCGATACTGGGAGGAAATGAGCAACCTTAGTCAATCTGTCGACCACGACCCAGATAGCGTCGTGATGTTCGGACGACCTCGGTAATCCCGTAACAAAATCCATCGCAACCTCCTCCCACTTGCACCTCGGAATCGGCAGTGGTCGTAGAAGGCCTATGGGGCTCTTATGCTCGGCTTTGACGTGCTGACAGGTTAAGCATCTTCTTACAAAGTCGGCCACATCTTTCTTCAATCCTCTCCACCAAAACGGCCCTTTCAGGTCATGGTACATCTTTGTACTTCCTGGATGGGCTAGATAGGGTGCAGAATGAGCCTCAGATAAAATCTCCTTTCTCAGTGCTTCGACTTTCGGCACCACAATCCTGCCACGAAACTCCAAGGCCCCATCAGTGCCTTGGTGAAAACCCTCGACGCCTCCAGCACGAACCTTGGCATCAATCGTACGAATAAACTCATCTGAAGCTTGCTCTTGCCGGATTCTTTCCCTCAGCGTCGGCTGAACCTGCAAGGAACTCACACTCCCCGTACTGGCGGTAGGAAGTGCATCAATCACCTGAATCTGCATCCGGGAGAAATCCTGAATCAACTGACTCTGCTGAGTAACAACGTATGTCAAGTCACCCTTCACCTTGCGGCTTAGGGCATCATCAACAACATTCGCCTTTCCCGGATGGTACTGAATGGTACAATCATAATCCTTGACGAGCTCTAACCAACGGC